GCAAGCGGTGGGTGGTGATTGTCAGGCGAGTGGTGAGTGTCAATGTTTGGTGATTGGTGAGTGTTTGGTGAGTGCCAATGTCTGGTAAGTGGTGTAAGGTGAGTGGTGAGACTCAGGCATGTCATGGAACAAGCAGATCTAGTATAAAATACAGAGGTAATATATTGGGTTGTTCGATATTAGCACCTTTGCTTATGAACGTTTTCTCACAGTCTGGATCCGACAAGAACTTTTGTTGTCAATTTCTGCATGAACTCGGGGCTCGGCTGCACACCGTGACGCAGGCACTTTCAAATATCTTGTCCAGCTGTTCAAACCTTTTACCGGCTTGTTTGTATAGTACTCCTTCCCCTCATATTTTATTTCAGCAGTGCTGGGGGATAGAATGTACTTTGGCTTCTTTAAAATAGTACTCGGATGGAAATCAATGTATGTTAAACGGAGCAATGTTTATTTTTTTATTTTTTTAAGCGGACGAAACCCTAACTTTAAAAAGTCCTAATCTTACACGCGCAAAGTCTTCCCTGATAAAATGTGATGAATTGGTCACAATTCATTGCAACAAATCAATTCAATAATCAATCGTTTGTTTTAATTGCAGTGGCTATATAGACTAATTATATACAACATGTACAAATCAAAACATATTATGTCCTACTCATGTGATTTGATGCATGCATCTTGAGTTTTAGAATCGACATTAATCGATGATCGTCGGATGCATCAGCATTCCAGCCCTCACTGGACGGGACACTTGGAGACTTGGACACACTCTTGTGTGTTAGTCATGGCAGTAAACGTCTCTTTGCCCGCTTGTGCCAATGTCTACTGACGTATTACAACGACAAAAAAGTCGCAACTTTGCCAAAGCCATTAAACATTATATTCTCAAATGCAAGGAAGCCCATCTATTCATTTTTTATTTGTTGGCCACATTTTTGCCGTCAGCTTAATATGACACATATGGCTGCATTGCTTTGTGGTGGTCTTGCTGCCGTATGTGAAGTGCAAGGTTTCGTTTATATTATTTCTGTAATTCCAAAACCTCGGTGCCTAGCTTTTCATCGTACGGTTATTTCAAGACTGCACAGAGACTGGCTTAGCAAGGGGGGACCTTGATTGTTGCAGTGTTGTTAGATTATGTGACGAGCCAGACGTCCGAGTTCGGAGTGTTTCCATAGCTCAAGCGAGCTATGGGGGCGACACTGATGGTATAGCCTCAAGCAAGTCGTGACAATTCAACGTCACACGTTGGCACGGGGCAATCTTCTCATGTTGACCTCTCACAAAGTGGTACTCATTTTATCGACCTCAGAAGGAAAGTCTGATCACTGTAGACTTTCGATTATCAGCTTGCGGTTTATCCGATTTGCAGATTAGCCATGCACACTGGGATTTTGACATTAATTAATAACTCATAGATTTCCCCTGAAGCCCAAATTAGTAATCGAAAAACAGTTATATATTGTTATTCTTGGAAAATATTGATTTAAAGCTTTCGTGACTGCAGGAATTCATACTCTTTGGGTCTTTCGGTAAAGTCACGTAGATAGAAGAAGAATAAAATAATAATTTTTTTTTATTAGTTTAAATAATAAATGAACATTTTATTACTTTATTATTTTTCTATCTACGCGACTTTATGGAAAGACGCAAAGGGTATTCTTGGAAATGTTTAGAACAAGTCACGTGCTTAATCCGAACAAATATGAGCTCCGGTTAATCTGACATCCACGTGACTGCCCCTGCAGTACAGTAGTTGCATATCTTTACAACAATGGGTGGAGTTTGATTGATTGATGTCCACTTAGTGGGCCGATTCTTCTGACCGGGAGCAGGAAAGTGTTATCACTGAGCACGCGCATCGATCGGTCGATCGTCAGTATTTGTTCTAAACCGAAAGAGTCACAATCGAAGTCGTCCATTGTGCTTCATTGTGAGTGATTTTTCCGATCATTTATTTTGTGAGTTTTCATTTCACCCATATTAGTCGTTTTTGGCATAGAGCTTTGTGGAAAATCGATATTTTTGGATTTTCCGCAATTTTCAGTTATCGGCGGCCGTCCTCCCCATCATTAGCGCGGATAATTGAGTGTACTGTATATTCAAACCCCTTCGGAAAAAATCTTTCAAGATATCAAAATTCTGCATTGGCTTCCCCCCCCTCCCCCGCCCTCATACTAAAGCTGTTCATGCATCTTGCACTCTTCACTGCAGCAGCAGCAACAGCAACTGCCTTCTCAATTTAAAACTGCCATTCATTTAGACACTTAATAAATCCAGATTGGCTAGTATTGAATGTCCGAAAGCATTAAAGATTAAGAGCGAATTCTGAGCTTTCAACATCCACTCTTATTACCAATGTGTCATGTTTTCAAAGGCTCTAATACCAAATAAGGAATTTATTTATTTCCCTTCTTGCTCGGGTCTCCCACTGAGTGAGTCGTATCACAACCTGCACATCCGTCTGGCTGGCAAACTGAACACAGCAACACTCAGCAATATTGCGCTACCGATTCTTTTTAAATCCTTTATATTAAGTTCACTTGCTTGCGCGCTTGCGCGCTTACGACCGTGCAAACCTTTCGGTCGTTTTTTAACCCACTCCCCGTGATCCAATCGAGCTGACATTTTGCACACAGACTCGTTGTGCGTGACAGTTTCTTTTCGTGAAAAAAAAGTTTCCATAACTTTACACTTTTTAGGAATTTTTGTTAAATATTTAATTACCAATTGCTTAATGGTGGCAGGCAATCATCTGACCCATAGGTGGCAGCCATCTCACGCCAGAGGACGAGAGGACTCTAGCCGCCACGCATATAAAGGATTTATAGTGAAAAACTTTGTTTTTACGGGTTAATTTTTAAGCTCATCCCGTAGTTGTTTTACAGCCTCGTATTGCAAACTCACTTAAAGCACCACTGTGGACATTGCTAAGTATTCTATACAATTTGGTTGCTTTGTTGCAAAAAAAAAGATACGTGAGGTGAAAATGTATAATTCTGTCAAAGTAGCCATCGGCGTGGAAGTAGGGTGCGTGGTGTTTGCGTAAATGGAACCGCTGCGAAATGGAAAGAACTTTTCATTTAACATTTGGCGAAAAGAAAGGGCATTTTTATAAATGCTCGCATATTAGCCTGCCCCCAAGTTACGTGCTCCCTGTACTGCAACCAAGGTGACAAATAGGAGACATTTAAACTTGCCAGCTCCCCGATGTTATTGTATTGCCATTCAATCGCTTTAACATAGCCCGCATGTTAATTGTGAACATTTCAAAGATCTTCAGTTGTTCATACATGCGGATGATACTTCTGTTCGCCGAACAGGTTTATTCCTGACAGTCGTCACTGTCATGCTCTGGTCGTATACATTAGAACACCATTCCAATGTCCGGCACTCTCAGCTCATGCATTAAAATAAATAGTTAATATAAATATAACGAGTACTCATAAGGGGGTGGGGGATGGGGGGACGGACTCTTCCATCTCCCCCTTGCCTCTCCCCAGGTGATGGGGAGGCGAGTGGATTATTTTTGAGCAGGCTTGTCGTCGGTGGCTCTAAAAGCGACGACCTCAGCCATTCCACTGCAGCCCATGAGGCTCAAGCTGCTCTACAGGCTACTGAGAACAATGGAGTGTACCCATGCCCCCCCCCCCCCCCCCCATACGTTCAGACATTGCTCGATGCCATCTGCACAAAGATAGTAAATCCAGATAAACTCATTCTGGAGAGTGGACCAAATAACTCCGTGGACTGCTCCCGTTGTTGTACTGCCATCTACTGGCAGTCTTCACAGCCTAGAGCAGGGGTCGGAAACCTGCGAGCTCTTTAAAGACTGCTTCGTGACGTTGTTTTTACTCGACGGTTTTATTTAACTTGACTCCTATGTTTGTCGTGGTCAAATCTTGTAAATAAAAATTTTGTCTACTTCCTGTTTCATGTTCTTGGTTCTTTCGGTAAAGTCACGTAGAAGGGAAATAATAAAATAAGAAAAATATTGTAGAGGGGAAATAATAATATAATAAAAATGCCTTTTTCTTATTTATCTTCTACGTGACTTTACCGAAAGAACCAAGAATATGAATCCCTGCAGTCACGAAAGCTTTAAATAAAAAAATTACTTCCTGTTTGTTCAATCAATTCCAAATTTTGCAAATATAATCAGATCTGGTGACAATGCACGCCTGTATCAAAATCGGCATCAATTAATCAATTAATTCGCTACTTTAAAAATTTTACATTTTGTATGGACGCCTTATTATTTATATATATTTGTGTAGGTAACAAAACGCTGCGGTCCCTAAACTCTCGAATCGCCTGCTCCGTGTGAACGACTTGCGAAGGTATCAATTAAGTCAAGTTCGCGTTGATGTGGGAGCAGGCGCCGCATCATTGACGTACTTCTCGACCGTGAGTTAAACAAAGTTGTTAATAAAACCGTTGTTTTAAAAAATATATTTTAAAGGAGTTTATTAAGGTCCGTCTCGTATATTTGCGTGCATTGCAGCTCTTGAAATATTGAGGTTTTACCAAATTCGGAAAAATGGCTGTTCTTGTTATTTTGTTGCTGACCCCTGACCTCGAGAGAGGAAAATTCAAGGTCACATTCAAAGTGGAAGATGAACAATTAAGTCAGGCCATTGTTTCCATTATTCTGCAAGGTCCAGAAACTGATGCACAGTCCACATCCAGATGTCAAGGTGTGCTCGTAGAGTCTCCCACCAACTGCCTTTCAGGTCTTCCACCTAGTTACTGGCATCTGGGTGCCACTCCAGTGCCTGTCTCAGTAATCCACTCTCCTCCATCTTACACACACACATGTACCCGAACCCAGCAAAAACCTTCCCTTCCTAATTACACCCATAATGCTCTCCTGCCCCTTTCTACTCCAAACCTGAGCGGTATCAAGCGTTCGTCATGGTTTATAAACTGACACCATTGAGTGAATGATGGACACCACTCTGCTAATGATGATGTTTGCTGGTTCTTCTGCTTTGCAGATGATTGCACCGTGACACGCATGTACCTGTTCCTGCACAAGTTTTGGTTCTTCAGCTCCGTGTACTACATCGGCAACTGGGCCTTCATGGTGGTAAGTGTCTCCCACTTGCAATTTGCACGCAATTTAAGTTCCATTTTAGCTGAGAGCCTCTGTGGTCATAAAAGCTCAAATCCAGGTCCAAGGTGAACTCCGCTGACCTTCCATTTGGAGATGGTAAAATGAGTCTCGTTTTGTGGCAATTCATTGTTGAGCAGAGGTGACAAACGGGTTTTGATTCCTTACCCGTACCCGGCCGCACCAGGGTGTCAAATGGGTACCCGTACCCGTTCCCTACCCGTACCCGTACCCTACCCGAAATGAGTGACAAACGGTTACTCACCAGTGACTCACGGCCTACCCGTACCCGTACCCGGCCGCACCAGGGTCACAAAAGGGTACCCGGCCGGGTACGGGTAGCCGGGTATCGGGTAGGGTACGGGTATCGGGTACCCGGTTGCGACCTATGGTGTTGAGTATCTTATGGAAAGACTGGCTCCCTGTCATTGGAATTCTGGAATTTACACGACTAGCTCGAAGCCATTTTTCCACCAAGTTGGCCCGGTAGTCCAGAGTGCTGAGCGAGCACTGCTGAGATCCTGGGTTCAAACCTGGGAAGTCGCCCGCGATCAAACAGGGTTCTGGAGTGCAGCAAGTTGATGGTCTTAGCCCAGTCACCAATGACGAGACAAAAAAAAAAACATCATTGAATTGAAAGGTCCAGCTGTGAAACTAAACATTTTCATTCAATTCCCTTGTTATGGACACTTTTTTTCTTGAACATATATACGTGTGCGTGTGTGTACGTTCAACTTATTTTGCACCGTACGTAGCCAGTCATGCTAATCGGAGGTGCAATCAAAGGTGTGCTCCCAACACGGATAGATGCCTGTTCAAATGACTGCAGAAGGAGTTCTGAGATCATCTTCAAGGGCCATTCTCTGACACGGGGTGATGCACTGCTAGCTGGAGATGTCCAAGTGGAAATGTAGTCATTGCATGACACGACGGCAAAAGCGCAACCGGGATAAAGTGATATAGTGAGGGGAAGGGGCTTCCATTGCTGTTTGGAAGCCGATGACACATTGACTGGATTTAATGTAATTGTCACGGTTTCAATGAGGCGTAGGGCAGTGATAATGATGATGACAATGATGATTATGTGCAGTGTACTCGCTGTGGTTATGATGAAAATCCTTGCAAATGTTGCTTGCTGCAGATCAACCGAACACCAGAATTGTTACTGAGTATCTTAGAATCGTGCTCAAAGGTCTCTGGCACATCGGCACACTGCCGTGTTGTTGTTTTCATGCGATGCTGATTTTATTTGCAAAGTAGCAACCAGACTTATACAATTTGGAATCAAACACTGACGTGTCCGGGCGCATTTCCATGCACGCTTTCCCGCAAAATGTGCGGTGGCAGTGTGACCCAAGGGTTTTAAAATCGTCTGACTTAGCAAGTTGAAGCCGAAGCCAGAGCAATACTGTAGTTATCTTTCCAATTTCAGCACGATTTTCATTGCAGGCAGTTTTTTTGCTGCGACACATTTTAAAATATGTGCCAAAGGGCCGCAAGCCTAAAGGCTTAATTACGTTGTCCACTGTTGCCTTCCCGAGGGCAAAACATACTTCTAGGGTCTTGGACTGAGTAAATTGCATGGACAATGTCACCAGGTTAATGATCGTGAGAATCCTCATCTTGTGCAAAACAAAGTGTGGTCCGCTGAGGACACAATGCGAAAGCCAGATTTCGTCCGAGCCTTGCGTTTGAAACCTCTTTGGAGATGGTTTTTCTTTTTTTCCAAAGGCCCACACTTCCTAAGTGTGAACACTTTGAAAAGTAATGGTAGTTTAGTTTGTGTTTATTAACCAGGCATCCGTTGTTATTACTCACTTTGTGAAAATGATCTGCAAATGTCTATAGTGCATTCGCATGGCATTTTAAAAAAAAGTTTTCGTTTAGGCCAGGGGTCGGCAACCTATGGCTCCGGAGCCGCATGCGGCTCTTTACGGGCTGCTTCTTGACGATGAGTACGTATGTACTCAGATGCACTGCGGCTCTTGAAATACTGAATTTTGTACCAAATTGGAAAGAAATGGCTCTTCTTGTTATTTTGGTTGCCGACCCCTGGTTTAGGCCATTAAAGGCGACCGTTTAATCAGTAATTAGAGCCTGTTTGTGAAAGGGGATTTCCCCCCCAAAAAATATTTAAACTTTCTGCACAAAGCAGCCTCCTCACAACATACTCTTTGACATCAGCAAGGTGGTGTAGGAATAACTCTTCCACATGTGTGCTACCTCGAAGGATAATTTTCTGGCAAACATATTCGTTTTTTGGTCTTGCCGTGAGAAATTATTTCAGTTTATAAGCAATACATCGTTCATGTTCAGAGTTAGAGAGTAAAATGGCTTCATGTAAACGGTAAACACGTTTGATGAATCCTTTTTACTGCATTTAATTATATTATCAGTGATGTTCCAATCATGTGTACAGTGTAATATCCAACTCCAATAGTCAATCTTTGTACCTCCCTATCTCCCTCTGCTCTGAAGAAGGGTTATTGCCTGAAACTTAAGCCTTCTAAACTAATTATCTTGTTACACAAAGCAGCGTTCATGGTGAAAGTGGCGAGTGTTTCTTTTTTTAGCGTGCGTTGCTGCTCGTGCAGTCCCTTTGACTTGTTATCCCCAATTGTGGTAAACGAGAGCCACACTGTGAGTTAAAGAATATCCTTGCGCCAACTCCTTCCATCAGCAGCAGCACCGCCGCCGCATGACACGTGTGTGGAATTGGCCCAGGAAAAATGACGGCTACTTCTTGGAGTGCCTTCAATTAGTCTCGCTGACCCAACGCTGGATTGGCTTTGTCGCACCCTGCAAAAAGGATGTTCGCCCGAGTGTCGGTCCTCTGGTTTGTGTATATGTCTGACGGCATCCCGGAGTTTGAGATATAGCCATTTAATTAAAATAAAATTTAAAAACTACGAAATGCAGTAACATTCCTCTTATCCGCCACCCTATTACTCGCTCGTCGTATTATACGCAGCTCCTAATCTATCCGTAAATAAACTTCCATTGTCCACATTTTTCTCAGCCCGGTCACTAACGACCACAAGCAACAGCAAAAATCATCGCATTCATTCTGATGATGAAGCAATGAGAATGAAAAAATATAGGCTTGACTTAAATGTCACAATCGCCATTCTTTCAGCACAGAGTGTGCGGAAAGTGCGTCCACTGTTTTAACATTTTAATTGCCACTTGAAGGGTTATTCAGATGACGTTCAGTGAAAGTCCCTTGTGGAGACTTTAATTCCATTTGGAGTAAAATACATTAGGAAGGAGTATAAAGAGGGAAAAAATACCAAGAAAAAAATCCGATAATCTCATTCTTGCTGATTCACAGTTTTCAGATAATCATCGTCCCCATGAGTTATTTGCTCACCGAAAAAAAGTACAAAACATCGTCAAATGTTTTGTTTTACTTCGTCAAGTATAGACCTCGGTAAATTAATATGATTCACCTGACCGCAGGGACGATCGCATTCGTGAAGGAAACGGCACGTGTTCTTGCAGAGTAAGATCCGTCTTGAGCTTTCAAGACCAAATTCAGGGCGTAGCTGCTGCTGTTTATTGTGATATTTCTCAAATCATGTCTGGAAGATTCATGCGACTGAGCAAACCTTTTGAAGCGTTTTTTCTAAACTCAGTCTCTGCTGCGTGGGCCTTGCGAGCATTGGTAATACGTGACTGAAGAACTATGAAGTTCTGTTTTTGGAATATATATGGAGCCTTTTTATAACACCCCTACAAAATTAAAGTTGATGTAGTGTCGATGACAGTTCATTACATGAGAATTCATGGCGGAAAGCATGCTATTGTAAACATATCAAAAACGAGGCGTAGTTATCACGGGAGGGGGGGGGGGGGTCGTAAAACGTACACGCAGAGCCCTAATGATGTGGCAGTGCGGCCATTAAAATGCCTGTGGGATGGCGAGAACGTCAAATTAAAGAAATTTGCACTGACGTGAATTGCATTTTGGAAAGGAATCCACCCCACCACCACACCCCCCACCACCACCCCACCACCACCCCACCATCACCACCCCCCCCACCACCCCACCACCACCACCACCCCACCACCCCCCACCACCACCACACCCCACCACCACCACCCCACCACCACCACCCCACCACCACCACCACCCACCACCACCCCACCCCCCCCCACCACCACCACTCCACCACCACCCCACCACCATCACCACCACCCCACCACCACCCCCCCTACCACCACCCACCACCCCCACCACCACCCCACACACCCACCATCACCACCACCCCACCACCACCACCCCACACCACCACCCCACCACCACCACCCCACCACCACCCCACCACCACCACCCCCACCACCACCACCACGTACGTTCACGGCTGGAGCCAGGTTATATGTGGCTGCACTGAAGTCATAAACATGGCAGTGTGTGTGTGTGTGTACGTGTGTAGCGTGTCTGCACGCGTATGTAGTTCAACTAATTTATGACCACCCCCATTCCCAGCTGCCTTCTCTCTCGCCC